AATGGATATTTTCTGTAAATGAACAGCAAAAGGTGTAGTCAATCAGCAATGAGCAGAGAGGAAAATGTGCACTGTCCTGAAGTCACATGTATGCTAACAAGAAAGTCGGGCCACCTTTCTCACTAGAGATCACATTGTATAGGGATCTACAATGACATTTTATGCCTGGCCCCAAAACTGGATTGCCCGCGTGTCGCCAGGTAAGATGATAGTTATGTTATTCTAAACAAAACTGTAGTTCCTCGTTTAATTAAACCCAGAATTCTCGAGTTAAGAATAAGAAGGAGCCAAAACAACTTTGCCCAGTCATTGTCTATATTTTTGTTAGCTACAAAGTAAAAGATCTCTAATTATCGTTTAGTTTCGACAGTTTTGACTGTCGCTTGCACTGCGGGCACAGCAGCATTAGGCCAAAAAAATAAATTAATTAAATTACTAAATTAAACTCTACAGACATAGAATGAAAATGATCCAGGATGTCACTACACTTCCACTACCAGCTCTCCCTCCCCACCCAAAGACTACACCTTTACGTCATTATTTCTTAATACTCTCATGATTTCCCCGAGTTTATGTTTAAAGGTGTTAAAAGTGTACCATTTCATTGCAGGTGGAACCTGTAGTTCAGAAAGGCCACGAGGGACTGGTTCATCATATTTTGTTGTACGAGTGTCCCGACAGTTTTCCAACTTCCTTTTTGAATCATTCTGGTTTTTGCTATGACGAAACAACTCCTCGTGAAATCATGGAATGTGCTGGACAGTCAATAGTTGCTGCCTGGGCGATTGGTGGAGGGGTAAGATTTGAAGCAGTAGTACAATAGCATTATTCTTAGTAATAATAAACTTCCTAAATTGCGATGTAAGTATTTCCACTCGTCAGCAGAAGAGGTTAATCTTTGTAGAACGCCATAGTAAGGTAACAATGATTGACAATTCAATCTGCGTCCATAATCATTTGCTGACATTTCTAGTTATCATTTTAGTGATTTCCGGTCTGTGTTCCGGCAATTTGAGCAAAGACAAACTTCAAAGTTTAGATTCGCGGAAATAAAGAGCTGCAAACTCTTTCGGCCACTTTTTTTGGAAATAAAAGAGAAACAGTTCCAACGATGATTTTAATTGGAAGGAAAAAAACCCTTACAAATTATCATATTTTAATATCACATAGCATTTGACATTTGTTTATTTCTCAGAGCTTTTACTACCCCGAACACGTGGGCCTCAAAATTGGTACCAACGACACGTCAAGATACATTGTTATGGAAACCCACTACGACAACCCAGATCACAGAGATGGTATGTATAATAGCACGTGCCCGAGAAATTATCTGGGTTCTGAGGACGTATCTGAATTGCATTTTGACGGTCATGCTCATATACTGCTATCTAAGAATCTTTCACAGGCATTTTTCAGTAATAGATTGCGTCCTTGCTGAATTGGGTTTTCAGACTTTGTCGACAGCTCTGGTCTTCGGTTGTGGTACACTAACGAAACTCGCATGTACGNATAGGGTATGGTTTTTGCACTCTAGCCTTGATATGGGTATGCTTTTAAGAAGAAGCCACTTTTTCATCATAATAGAAAAGCAAATCAACAAAAACCTTTCACAAATTATGTTTACGGTAGTTTAACATTGGTCTGAACTAGGGAACTAATTATAACGAAGGTCTGAAACAGGGTTTTGATTTAAGGGTCAGGTCATAAACAGGGTTTCGAATTTTTGGTCAGGTCATAAATACGATAGGGATTATCACAGATTTTGGTCATGAATAGGGTAAGGGTTTTGGGAAGCGGGCCGCACACCCCCGCCCAATTGTTCTGCGAGTACCCCCCCGGGTCATAACCGAATCGGTCGGTTTCTTGACTGTGAGTGAAAATATTTGGGACACCCGCTGTGATATAGATAGCTTGGAAACTTTGTCATAGCGACTAAAATTAGCTTTGATACCCATTTCGCTCTAAATCAGAACTTGCATGTCAGCTATAACATGCAGTTGTACGGCGTTATCTGTGCTCTCCTCATGGGAGCAAAGTTGAAACCTCACACTTCCCTAATACCATTAATGTTTTTTTTTTCCATAAACAGGGTTTGGAAAACTCTCCGCTGGAAGGACAGAAAGTGAAAGTGTTTGCAGCTCTTCTTCATACACATCTTGCAGGTACAGACGAAAATAATATAAATTTGGCTTGTGCAAAACAACATTCGAAACGAAATTCGCTAACCGCATCCAAGATCAGGTTAGCTGATCTGTGGAAACAATTTTAATGGCATAAAAGGCAGAAATAGACAACAATTTTTTTGTAGGAATGAACGACAGTTTATCCTCAGAGCGCTAATAGTCCTAATACAGTTTTTGTGTATGATTTTTTTTTAATCAATCGCGCCTATAATAAATCACCTTTTTATCGGGCAGGTGAATTTTGTTAAATCGCATTTTTCTAATTTGATTTCAGGCAGGCAAGTAAGAGTGAAGCATATTCGGTACGGACATGAACTTAAAGAAATTGTCTTCGATAACCACTATGATTTTAACTTCCAGGTCAGTGATGAAAATTTCTGTTTTTACGTTAAAATGTCCAGTGTTCTTCTGAAATACTAGAAAAAACGAAAGATCCTTGTTTACTGGGAATGTTGCAGATCTCTTTATTGGGAGTTCCCTGGTAGTTTTAGGCTAGCGAAACTGTATTTTCCACGCAGACTAGACTGTACATAGTCAAGTATCCTACATGAGAAAACAGACATACCCTCGCGATTTCTCGAGCCTCTAGCCACAGCCCTTTTCTCCGGTGAAATGAACTTTCTTACCTTGAGGCAAATTTATTCTCCCACCCGCGTTGTCTTATACATGGTTAATATTGCATAGTGACCAATAAGACTTAACTTTGCCATCTCTTCTGCCTGTTGCTATGGAGCCCCGGATTGAGGCAGTCTCTGTTTACGAAATCCACCTTTTCGGTATTCAGCCCTATTGTACATGATTAGCTCAAGTCCCTTTTTCGCATGACGCATAGGCTAACTAGTAGATGCATAGGCTAGCTAGTAGATGATCAGCACGTCCATCGATGAACTCTGTCGAAGCATTTAAAGTCTGCTTTCTACAAAATTGTTAGCTCTGGTAGAATGGTCACCCTCCATATCCAGTCACGCTGGGCAAGGAAATCTTTCACACATAAATTTTATCTTTTTAAATAGCTGCGAACCGTTCACACGGGAAATCAAAGTTTGCTTGGGTGACCCTGGGTGGATGGTCATTCGCTTTTTAAAACTTTGAAACGCTTCGGTGACCTTCGTGGATTTAGTGGGAGGGTAGCCAACGTCAAAATTCGAGGTGCTTAATTAGCAATTTGAAACGCAAAATCAAATATTTTGATATATCTCTTCAATCGATACCAGATAAAAAGGAGTAACTGGAGGAATAAAGTATCTAACAAAAAAATACATGCATCTCACAACACGGTCATAGTTTTACCTAATTTCCTTTGGTTAAACGCGGTGACCTAAAGAACCTACCGTAGAATTTGAATTGAAACATGCTGAGAGTTTGGAATAATCACCTGATTACGTTCTGCTTATAAAGGTCACCACTTTTGGTTCGAGCGTAATAGTTCCCATGCAATTTAGCGTTAATTCGCTAACACCTTTGATATGTTCATTTCTCTAGTCAGTTTTTGATTTCCCTTTGAGGTTCGAAAATAGGAATTCCGTTGCAAACTATTTGTCGCTTCTCAACTCTTTGTCTCTTATAACGGTCCGTTTGTCCTTCTTAGGAATATCAAATGCTAAAGGAGGAGATCGAGTTGTGGCCTGTAAGTAGAGTTTATACAAGTTTATCTATTCATCTAGATCTAACGCATCAAAGTAATGATAAAAAAATTGTTAGCCAAATATATCAACATTTTCAGAACACAAAGGAACACTGACTTTTCAAATGTTATTTGTTGTTCGTCTTTGATATACACACTTAGCTTGTTAATATTTTTTTCCAGCGAGATGAACTGATGGTCTCTTGCACATATAACACGGAAACTTTAAAGGATTTGACTTTTGTAAGTAATGACGGTTACACTAAGCATGTTCATTATACACTTAGTATCTCTAGCTTGTTACTCGGGCTTCCGTAGGAAAGCCCGAGTCTTAAAATGCAAGCGTTTTGGTCGCCAAAAGGGGGTCATGGTCCCAGGCGTTCCATGCGTAGACCATGGAAACTGGGGACGAGAAACGCGACATTTGCTCGCTCTTCGTGACAGAATGCGGTGTTTTGGCAATAATCGCGCCTTATTCATTCATCTCACATACAAAGATGTCGATCGTTTTCAGAAAAGGTCGGTCCACAAATTATATTGCTTGAAAGCCAGCCAAGTAAGCAAAGTTCACGCTCGAAACGTTCTCGTGAGATAACAACCGAGCCGATTACGGTATGAGTTCAATCTACAAAAACACTGGCAAAAAATAGGCGGTCAATGACGGTATGTGGCTACTGCTGTCATTATTTAGAACACTGCAGTAAAACAAATCATATTGCAATAAAACGAGCGAAATACGAAAACGTTTTTGGACTCGTAGCTCATTAAAAACATGCGACTTGTTTCTTGCACTGCGCAAAATATGTCGATCTCCAAAGTTGTAAAGATAACATTTTCGGTAAATTGAATTAAATATCTTACCTCCAAGTTAGTTGGCTTTCTAGTAGGGTGCAGGAAAAAAAACCCTGTGAATTTGGAGGCACATTGTGCGGGAGAATTAAACCTTCGATTGTGCGGGAAATTGTGCGGGATTATCGACGAACCAATGTTCTTGCCAAGTCCTAAGGAAAATCTGCATTGACGATAGTTCAGCCAGTTATTTCACTAGTAGTTCAAATATATTTAGCAGTCTTAGCAATCGCCAATTCTTTTAGAAAACTGTGGCTGACTACAAAAGAAAATCTTTGTGCGTGACATAAACTAGACGAGCATGAAACCAAAATAAATGGCAAAACAGAATGCCGCATCTTCCCCGATAAATGAGAATCCTTTTAAAAATACTCCTGCCTTGATTCAATAAAAATATGTAGCTTGAATACTTCTTCATAAACTGCGTTAAGGGTCGCAAATTCTTGGAAGTTACCCGCAAAATACACAACTTGAAAGTTTACGCAAATTATGTGCAATGCAATTTGAGCCTAGTCACAGGAGTGTTGTTTTCGCGAAGGAGTTTATCATGATTCGTTTTGGCTCTCTCGAAAGGGATTATTCGCTCTTCAAAGGACATATGACTCTTGAAAAGGGTTTAAGATCGCAACACGGCAAAGATGTTCAGCTACACAATTTACTCGGATCGCCACGACAAGCAAACAAACTTCGTACAATTTCTGCTAGCATGTACAAAGTAATCGCCATAAGTTATAAAAAGACCTCGAAGATTCTTTGCAAATACCCTGGTCCCAGAGGTTTTTCTTGATTTTTCTCCACATGAGAGAGCTACAAGAGAACCGCGAAGCGCGACTTGTGTTCGCCGCTTCGCGAAACGAAGAAAAATCAAGAAAAACCTCTGGGACCGGGTTATTTTGCATACAACTTCTCCATCAATGCGTAGACAGCTGTGCTTCATTCTTGAACCAAAATGGTTTAAACTCAAAACTTGCGATAGGATGAAGAGCCCTGGATACTCAACGAAACAACTTGAATTGTAAATATCTAAGCGGAACTCTTGTGCTAAAATATCCTGATTCGTTAATTTGCTTTTATTGTGTCCAATACGCATTTTCGTAAAGTACGATTTGATGCTGTGGTACGAAGCCCGAGTAAACGCTCTTAGAGCGTCTAGTTTCATTGATCCCTCGGAATCAAGCAACCTTAGATCACGTCTGAACAATATAGACTAAAAACACTCGACGGTACGTCGGCTAGTCGGTTGGTAAATCAGTGAAATGACATTCAGTCAGTCAGCCAGTCAGTCAGTCAGTCAGTCAGTCAGTAAGTCAAACAGTCAGTACGTCAAACAGTCGATCGGTCGGTCGATCAATCAGTCATTCAGCGAGTCACTAATTGGTCGTTAATATAAGCCGGGTGGTGATTCAGTCAGCTGTCACCTATGCAGTCATTCAGGGAGTCAGTCATGCAGTCAGCTGTCAGACATGCAGTGCGTCAGTCAGTCAGTCAGTCAGCCAGCAGACATGCAGTCAGTCAGGTAGTCAATCAATCAGTCAGTCAATCAGTCAGTCAGTCAGTCAGTCAACCAGTTAGTCTGCTGTCTTAATGCACACTTAGGTAAGTCACCCCCTGTTGGCTATCAATCATTCAGGCAGTCAGCTCTCGGTCAGTCATTCAATTAGTCAGTCAGTCAGTCAGTCAGTCAGTCAGTCAGTCAGTCAGGCGGCCGATCGGTCGGTAGGTCGGTCGGTCAGTCAGTCAGGTAGTTAATCAGTCAGTCAGGCAGGCAGTCAGCTAGGCAGTCTGCTTTTTTTTTTTATCAGATTTAGGTAAGTCACCCCCTGTTGGCTATCAATCATACAGGCAGTCATCTCTCGATCAGTCAGTCAGTCAGTCAGTTGGTCGGTCAGTCAGGTATAGTCAATCAGTCGGTCAGTCAGTCTTCGATTTCTTCCGATTCTTGATTCTACCTCTGATACTTCCTCGTCGTTGAACTATGCTGATAGTCTAGGCCTCAAACCATTCATTACGGCAAGTTTGGTATCTGAGGTATAAGAGGACATTAATTGTTTGTCGTTCTTTCAGGGCGGTTTTGGAACAAGAGATGAGATGTGCTTGGTTTTTCTGATGTACTATCCTCGAGTAAATTTGAAAAAATGCTCCAGCAGGGATCAAGTGGCATTTGCAAGCGTTTACTTGAAACATTTCTGGTAAATAATAATGGTTGCATTAATTTGGACATATGTATTCCGTCTGGGTTGTATGTGACATTATTTTCTTTTCTCTTATTCCAGACGGAAAATCATTATATTAGAATTATGAAAGAGAAATTATACACGTTCGCTCACATATTCATTTAGGCATTTAAGTCAGGCTCACAAAGGGCCTAAAATTAATGTTAGGTACAACTTCGCGCTACCCCTCCTATTTAAGAACAACGGTTTATTGTCACTTTCACAAGAGATTGATAATTTCTTGCTTCCACTCACTACCTCTTAATCCTGGATCTTGGTCTGAAAGATAACTTTTCAAACTTCTCAGCAGCGTAACTCAAGATTCAGGGATTCGGTCACGGGTATAATGCTAACTGGTTGTTATACGTTATACTTACAATTAAAACTGTATACCACTGTGCTCAGTTGTTCAAAAAAGCTTATCTGGGCTTGGTTGTTCAAAAGAGGGTTAGTTTCTAATCTCAGATGAAATTTTTTTAACACGCACATTAGTTGTTGGGCGCTAAGTCGCTTACGGCTCACCTAGGGTCAGGACAGAGAGTTAAATGTACGTATACTCGCAACGTGGATTAACGCACTCACCTCTGCTTAAATGAAGGAAAATTTAAACAAAATGAAGAGCTTGAAACAGATGTGGAAGGTTCACTGCCCAGCTGTTTGGCCTTAGACTTCGTTTTCGTTTTGGTTTGAAATACTATTGGTTAACTCGCCTAATAGTTCCTGATTTTGATTATATAAAAGTTTTCGATCCACCGTTACTTTAGGATTTTCTTACGTCGCGCAGTGGGTTAAGCAGTCCTCTGGTCAGCTCTAACCTTCAGCTTCTAACAACAGAATTGACGCGCGATTGAATTTGAACCCCGCGTCAAATAAATTTAACCCAGGGTCAGAAGGATTTGACCCTCTTGTGAGAAACTGGGCCCAAGTATTTATTTATAGTTTGAAGGGAACTAGAATCAGTGGTATGAATAGAAAAGAGTCTGGCATGTTACTTTGGTAGTAGGCCCACTTGCACTGAACAGACAGAGCTGTTATTAAGATAATTTATGCCATTTCTCGTTTGGACTGAACAGACAGAGCTGTTGTTAAGATAATTTATGCCATTTCTCGTTTGGACTGAACAGACAGAGCTGTTGTTAAGATAATTTATGCCATTTCTCGTTTGGACTGAACAAACAGAGCTGTTGTTAAGATAATTTATGTCATTTCCCGTTTGGATTGAACTGACAGAACTGTTGTTAAGATAATTTATGTCATTTCTCGTTTGGACTGAACAGACAGAGCTGTTGTTAAGATAATTTATTTCATTTCGCGTTTCAGGAAGGGCGGAGCTAATTTTCTTAACATCACGCCGGAAACATGGAGTGACAGGGTGACAGAGGACCTTCGACAAGCTTACAAGGACGAAAACACTAGAATAAATGTTAATTGCCAGGGATATAACAACCAACAAATCCTGGTGAGTTTCGTAAACTTCATTAAATGCTTTTCATTGAAAAGTGGGGAGATTCTTTGATGTATCAGCAAGGAATCTTTGAATTGTAATAATTGTTCTACAAGATATCACAAAACAAAGGTGTTGAAGTTCTTCTACATTTAACCAGCCGTATCGGGTGCAGGGTGCAGGATGCCGAGTGCCAGGTGACGGGTGCCGGGTGCCGGGTGCCGGGTGTCGGGTACCGGGTGCCAAGAGGACGGAATTTGATATGATATTTTATTGTTCACAGAACGTGAGTTTTTAATGACAGCCATGTTGTGACAAGCGTTAAAAAATAATAGTAATTAGAATTTACCTCCTTTTAAAGATTTTGTTTTATTATTATTATACTTCTCCTTGATCTCCGTGCTTTCAGGACGGCGGTAGTCATTCAAAACCCAAGATCGTTTATTCGTACCAGCCTGGCAATGGTCCCTGTGTTCGTAAAATTCACAACGAATTCGAATTCGAACACGAGCAGAGTGCTAGTGGACGTGACGTCAGTTCCAGCGTTATGATGGCTTTACCAACAGCTCTTATCGCAGCACTTTACAGAATGCTCTGACGACGCTGCTTTCCATTTCAAGCCGGACTGCTTCTTGAAGCATTGTGACGTTTCTACCGGCAACAGAGACTGAGACTGAGGAAGTTGATGTACAAAGGAAGCACAGATTGAATTTTATGTGTTTGAACTTTCCGTAGAAGTAGCCACCGATAGAATTAGTTATGTTTTGAATTAAAATTAGTGTACCCAGGCCATATTCGTATTCTCGGTATTGGACTGGAACTAGCTTGCAATGGAGGCTCATGCGGGAAAATATCATTAAAACGACATTTATGTCATTTGCATTTGAAAAGATTCCCCGCACATTAGCTAGTTCCAGTCCGAATACCGGGAATATGAATTTGGCCTATTCACTTTTTTGACCACACTCACAAAACGAAGGTTTTATATATCGCTCAATGAGCATTCTCTTTGGTCTATTCGAACCTCGCCAAACTGCCACCACAGAGACACATGCAAGTAGCCATTGTAAATATGTGGCCGTTATGGCGAGATAAGGCTATAAAATAAAGCTCCTGTTCAACTGTTTACCGTTTAGGTGTGGACTAAATGAGCGCCGTACTCGTGCAGACGAAGGAGTAACATGTGTTTGCATAGTTTTACGTGTGAACAAGTAAACCAAACAATGAAACAAAACGAAACGACGACAATATCATGACCCATAACCTTTACATACATACTTTATTGTTACCTCCCCAATGGGGCTTTTCAGGAACAATTACTTAAATTACTAAGTTACTAATAACTACACAACCTTTCTATGTTACTTGGAAACACCACGCTCTCTCTCAGTATATTATATCTATTTATTTTTCAGCCTACTCAATACATGTAACAAATCACTTTGAGCTTGCTACATGCCAATGGTGATGCGAGCTGAGCACTTCATGTAGTTTAACCTGAAAAAAATAACGTGTACAAAAACATAATTAGCAATATAAAGTATATTCTTTTTACCTTTCAGGGTTGGTTTTTATTTGTGATGCTCTTTGTAGTTGTATTTTAATTTCAATATTTATACAAGGCACATGGAAAGTTTCCGAAGAAATCACTCCAGGCTTCCATGATGGAATTTGGCACGTATGCAGTCATGAAATCATGTCATAATTACATAAAGCGCTCAATACTGGAGTGATGGGGACGTAATGTATGCATAATGAGCCTTTTTTTTAATAACATCATTATGATAGCTGGTCGCTTGTTTTGATTTTTAATCAACGATTATCTTTTGATGAGAGAGTATTCTCTTATGCTAATAGTTCAGCTACGGCTGATGAAAGTTATTGTAAAACCATACGACAGCTACAGGCTAGCCCATGGTCCATCTTTAAAAACTGCTAAAAAATGAGCAGACTTTTTCTATTAGCAGCATCTTACAATTTCTGCAGGTTGCTCGGCAATACTTTTTCATCATTTTGTGTTGGCAGCTATAGAAGAACAGCTCGTAGTTTTTACACTTCCTTCGACTCTTACGATCCACGCATCGTCCACGCTTCTCCTTGTCGTTCATAACTGCTAAGACATCTAGAAAATTAAAAAGGGGTGGTCAGAACGAGTACCCTGCTTTCTTCTGGATATCACCAGATCTGTCAAATGTACACGATATACGTTGCTTTATTCTTGTAATATGCCTAATAATACACATGCAAAAACTTCAGCATGCTGATTGGCTGAGAGCAAGTCAATTAATCCAAAATAGTGCAGAAAGTTGAAATTGAGTGCAAAAAGTTAAAGTGGAGTGCAGAAAGTTGAAATTTTAAAAATTGCATCTATATTATTAAGAAGTGGTCAAATGGTTTTTCACGTGCAATTAGGAATAAATAAGCATTCGTGAATTTTTCAGAGACTACAAATTACACTCGCCCTACTGACTCGTGCATCTGTCGAAGGAAATTCTACAATGCTGGTGACGCGATACTTATGCGCTACAAGGATTCGCAATACAATTCAGTGAAACCTTAGTGCAGCAGGATACTCGGAATAATCAGGGATAATAATGACGTCACTCGCTCTTCACGTCGCGGTCTTTTTCGTAACAACATAATGAAATGGTGGCCGCTGGAGGTATTCACGTACGATTAACCTCCCCAGTCTCACTACGCTGTAGAAAGCGCATTCGAGAACCGAGTAATAATTATAAAGAAAAACCTCTTTGGTGTAAAGAGAGAGAAATAGCCAGGACAGTCACCCTCGCAATTTTGAACGATCCGTTTAAAACATGGATTAACTTATATAACAATTTATTTTTTTTTTAATTAGCTAACTTGAATTCAAACTTCAGAACGGAAAAAAAAAAAACGTAGTTTTGGCCGCGCGCCAGGCTCCAAGTTTGAAAAAATGGCGGGAATTTCGTCGATCATCTAAACAAAAAAGTTACGAACTTTATCTGCTTTCCCAATTTTCCCAGTATGTAGCAACATTTTCTCGCCCCTTATGGAAAGCTGGTGTAATGTTTCAAAGGGTATCAATTTTTTTGGACGTCAACAACATCAACAAGGTTTTCGAACCCATTATTCCAAGCGGCATACAAGACATTTCGGTGCGAAGCCACATTTTTCCCACCAACCCCATTTACATAATGCATCCATATATCCACACCACTGAATATATAAGTAAGAGAGCCTCCAGCAGGTAGGGGGAGCTTGCCCAAGTATAAATAAATCAACCGAGCGACATCCTCGCGGTCCTTATTACAGTCTCTCCACCATTGCAGCCAGCATCGCCCGAGCCCGCAAGCAGGGATGCGCAGTAAGCTGCGCAGTACGTTTTTTCGCTCTGAAAATTCAAACCGAAAGTTACCCTCGGTAATTTTCCAATGCAAACTATCAACATTAAAATGCAAATCACTACTGACAATAATGACAACGTGGACATAAAAAGCATTACTCACTGCACATCTGATACGTATCGACAGCATGCACAAAAAGATAGGAAATGTAATTTTAGAAGTTGAGTCACATTTAATTAATGACTCGTTTTAAAATCTTTCTTATGATATGAAATTGTTTAAACATTTTTATCATTGACTTGTTGACTTGTTGACTTGTCATGACATTGCAAGTTGTCTGCACTATTTGTTAGTTAAATCTATATACTGCGTGTGTACATATCAAGCTGTATTGTTACATCGAGGCATCATAGCGATCAACTTTAAACCGATCTTTTCTATCTGAGTTGTCATTCTGGTTTACAATCCTGATATGAGTTAAAGATTCAAAAGAATCTCAGTCTTTTGTTATTTCCATGGGTTGCTTACCTTTCAGAAACTCTCTTTTTGTAAGATCCCTGTCTTCTTGATTAAGGTTGTCATCATTAAACGTTGCGGTGGCAATTCCAATACAAATAAGGGCGACTAGAAGAACAACTACTCTGGAGTGAACCATTGTCAGTTATTTCACTTAGGGTTGCTGAGGAAACAAACGTACAACATAATTTAAAACAATCCAAGTTTGTTTTCAATCACCGGTTCTCAGTTATTGCCGGCCCTTGTAGACTCAATCAGAAAATTAGCTAATTTTTATTACCAGAAATTTCACAGAGATTTGTGTATTACAGAATAGGTAGCTATATAGCAACTTCAGAATAGTTCATTGAGAAAATTTCCATTTAATTTTTAAATGCAATTGAAATTCCCAAATTTCCCAAATTTCCATATTACCAGTGTCTTACATTGAAATATTGCATTAGATTTCGATCGTTGAAGTTTGCGAGCCAGTTTAATTTTGAGACTACTCAGCAAACCACGTATAATAGTATTAACAATTGTTTCCTTGTGGAATTTTCCCCTGTTCAGTAAACTGTTATATTACAAATAGTTTTTGATCAGTTATATTTGTAAAGTTTGCAGGTGATGAATGGCATAAACACAGAGGAAGGAAGAAGTAAAGGGATTATTATATATGATGTTTCCAGTCAGAAATGATTGGAGCAAGATGCGAGGTAAATGAACTAAAGGAAACTTCTTGGCCCACGTCACTGAATAACTTAATACTGGATGATACTGTAAACTCCAAACTCTGATTAAAATGCCTTAAAATCCAATATTACCCGAATGGGATATTAAATAAAAACGAATAAGAACATAGTCTGCAAGGAAATTACCCTATTGGAAGTCCTCTTCTTCAATGGCTAAGAATGGGCGAGGACCTGTGCTCTGTGATCAGACGAATAACCGTGATCTCATCACGACAGCGGCAGAAAAAAGCTACTAATTTGAGGTTACGAAGAACTTGTCAGTTAAAAAAAAAGCAAACATTGCGTTGATATTCAATCAAACCCGCCTTTCTGTGCGATAATTTCGTCTTGGGGAGAAAATAAACTGATTGATGAATTATAAACAAGTCGCGATTGCGTGTTTTATTTGATTTCAGAGATAGCACGAACAATATGTTAAAAATATCACTGTATTTTTGTCGAAATGCCAATAACACCAGGACTATGAAAGCAGGAACTAAAAATCATTTCAATACGTGAATTTGCGTCGAAAGTCTTATGGAGACTAACTATCATATGTTCCTTACGGCCACTTGAAGCTTTTCAAGCTTAATAAATATGTATGTTGTGGCCGCCATTTGACTGAGCAGAATGTGATTGCGCCAAATTAAAATTACAGTTAGTGGCAAAATTACAATCATGCTACTTTTAAACTACGTCAGTAATCACGCAATAAATTGTAGGGAACAAATGAATTCAGTTGGTTAAAATTGTTTTATTCAAACACCAGCGTGTTTTGTTTCTCCGTGAAGCCTGAAGTACTGTTTGGATCCCTGTTGAAATAAAAATATTGGTTAAACTGATAATAGCGTCAGTAATAAAGAATTTAGGAAGCGGAGCGCATGAAGTTTAAATGAACCGCAAAGTAAGAAAGATGTCTGCATTTTGTTTGGCAGGTAGTCTGACCATTATACGGAAGTATCTGGATATCAAAATGAAATGAACATTAAAATAAGTGAATTAAAACACAGCGACGTTGTTGTGATGCGTTTTCATGGTTTGCGAGAGGAACGTTGAAATGTCTCAAACTTTCCCTGCTGCCGCCACCTTGAAGGCGTAAGGATAAGGTTGAAAGCATAATGTCCTCATCTTCAGAATCAAATTCTCCTCAACTATTGGGTGCAGTTTAATATTTATTTATCAGCGCGTCTTCCACAGTTAACCAAACAGGAAATAAAGAGGCCAAAGTATGTGTGAGTCAGCTTTCGCTAAACTAATAGTGGGCGTACTATCGCTGTACAATCGCTGCACGCCTACGTATCATCAATAAATCGTCAGCACGATTAATGAGCAATGGAAAATTCTCTTTATCGTACCGTAGGAGGACAGGTAAAAGTAGAACTTAATTTCTGTTCGCTATTTTTATAATGAAACAATTTTCTAGATGACAGCGAAAGACGAACGTTTTAGTTTTCAAAAGGTAGTCCATCACACACGTAGGTGTAGTGAAAAGTATTCAATACCACGGCTTTGCGGTAACCTTCAACAGGAAGCTCTTAGCTAGGAAACCCGCTATGTGTTTTAAAATACAACTTTTCCAAGCCCTGACCATTACTCTGTATTAGAGAATTACTTTGACAATGAAATTGGAAATAAATGCTCAGCTGTGTGTGTTTTTATCAGCTGCACGGCACGTGCGTGTATAAATAAATGAACGCACACTAAACACTGATCACTTGGTCATGGTCTTAATTATTGAAAAAGATAAAAATTCCACTCACGATGTTGCAATTTTTGATCAGGTTTCTTCGTTTTAGAAGAGAAAGTTGGTGAATACGATGAGGTGGTGCAGGTGGTACCTCCTACCAGTTAACTCGAACAGCTAGACTAACAGGAGTTGTCTACAAAAGACGCAATAAAATGCTAAAGATACCTATTTCTGGTCGTCAATTGGAGACTGGAGAGATTGTGGTCAAAATCTCGAAAACCACATTTAAACGTGTAACATTAGTATTCCCTTCTTCTCGGAAGCAAGTTTTAAATGTTTCGTTTGAGGCAGGCGCCGAAAGTAAAAACTCTGAAAAAGATGTAGGGTGCTTTCCATTAGATGAAAAATTCTGGTTTGAATTTCCGACGACGACGTGGTCGCCTACTTTTCAGCGTTCCTCCTGGCATCCAAAATTACTAGCTGTATCAATCATCTACATATTATGTCATTTTTATTAGGATGCGCCGGGCAGGGCAGAGTAGAACAGTCGAATACAGCTGAAAAAGCACGAAATGTCCTGCGGCAAAGTCGGAATTCACTTCTGGTCCTTTAATTCCAATAAAGTTTGCTGCATGCACAGATATTTTGTTGAGACCAGAGGACACTTGAGAACTTTGCGCACCTTATCATGGAAATATTTCGATTTCTGTTCTAACGCACTTATGCGCCGCGTTTGAAAAAAGCATGCTTTATGTTTGGCCCTTCGCCGCGCTTGAGCATGAGGAACACCGCTGAGCATGAGGAACGCAGTTTGGGCAGCGTCCACACTACGCTGGGGAAATTTTAAAATGCAGCTTTATTTCTACGGCTAGACCGACCATCCACGCTAATCTGTCACGAAAACGGAGATTTTCGAAAACGCTCTTCGAACCGGAGGAATTTAAAAACGCCGACTCCTCGTTTTCGAGTGGACGGAACACATTTTGAAAACTGTGCTTTTCGAAAATGATGATGTAACGAGAATCATGTGATTTCCCTGACATTGTTCCTTCAAACAGAAATCCGAAATGACCGGTGATTGTTGCGTTTTAAATTCCTCCGGCGTAGTGCGGACGGAAATTAGTTGATGCGTTTTCAGAGTGAAACCTTCGCTTTCAAATTTCTCCAGCGTAGTGTTGACGGGGCCTTGCTCCAGAGTGGTTACGAGGGAGGACGATGAAATTAATGACACGAGGATCATGCATGTAATCTTTGACCCAGTCAATTATGGCTTCAAGTACTCTTTGCGTGCTCAATCGGCAGACATGGGGCGTTTGTGCATCGTTTTCACGCTTTTGTTCAGCGTGTACAGGAAAAAACGATCCGATAATGTGGATGGAGCGTTTACCAAGATTCTTTTTTAAAACAGGAAACACTGAGTAGTGTGGACAATTAAGGCCTTTCCTCATTTTTCACTACTGACGCTTTTGTTGATGATTCTCATTGCTTCTTCCGATCGTGATCAATTTTCTGATATTGTCCCCGCGTTGTTTTTTTTATCTCAAACTCATCACCACTTTACATCGATTACCTCCAAATAATCTTTCAACGGTTGGGTTGTTTCCCCTCCTCCCCCCCCCCCCCCCCCCCTACCACCCACATCGTGTTCTTTCTTGGATTCTTTTGTGACTTTCCTTGTTCAACTTAGCTATGACTAAACCGAATTCGGTCATGTCGAAGAACTTAAAAAGTAACAATAGTTTTATATGTATTTTTACCAGCACTTCCAGCTGGTAGATCAAGTTAGGTTTCTTAACGAACAGAATTGTACCCACTAAAACCTACATCTCGCAGTTCTGACGGCTCGAACAATTCCTACAAAAGGTATGGAATGGCCATGGCTCTTTGGACTCTCGATCTGTCTTTTGTTAAGCTTCAACGGTCATGCTACTCGTAGGAAATATGTTTTTAGCGTTAACTTCAACTTTTAGTCAGCTTGGTGTTTATCCTATCCGATATCCCTTTATTGTCGTTTCATTACAGTAATCTAACAAATTCAACAAGGTGTACTGCAGAATTCGTTGCATATAATTTTCATCTCTTCTGGTCTTTGACATCCGTCATTATAAAGAGCCTCAAACAGGCAATGAGAAAGATCCCTTGGGTCAGGACAGCCGGATAGTTCAGAATCTGAAAATAATAAAACAATAACAATGACAAAAATTGGATAATGGCTTAGATACTACCACATGTGTAGTATTTGGGGCGGCTTTTTTCAGCTTAGCCTCCATCCTAGTCTTCAGCACTGCACTGATGAGGCCCAGAAGGCCGAAACAGTACTGTCTGCAGTTAGTTAGTTAGTTAGTTAGTTACA